TCAAATTTTATATAAATTCAAAAATGTTTTTTTGTTTTTGAAAAATTAATCAATTAATAATTTTAATATTATGGGATTAACATATTTTAATTGATCAAACTATAAGATCAAATAAGCAAATACTAAACTACCTGTTTTAAAATTGGATTAAGGTGCAAATCTGTTTCTGAAATATGACGCCCTGTATCCTTACTAAAGAAATAGGCAATGTTGTCATCACTCTTTTAAAATGGGCAATGTCCTTCGTGAAGTTCTTGCCTTGATGCACATCAAAGCTTACATCTTTAGAGTGCTCCTCTAGGCTTTGACCCATATCGGGAAAACAAAGTAGACTTTCGAGGTCTTTTGAGTGCGCATGTAATTTCCAAAACATGTTTTTTAATTTAAATAAATTTCTGTTTGCTGGTTTCATACTTTCTACTATTCAAAATATAAGCCATTTAAAAAAAAATTCGCACGTCAATAAATTTTTTTTTTTACCTTTAGTATTAATTACCAATGTACTTCGTAACAAATGAAAGATAATTTAGCACAATAATCTAAGTTAATAAATATAAAAGGTAAATTAGAATTTATTTTATATATACTATGTTACTTATATTTTAAATTAATATCAGCCGAAAAAATACTTACATTTTGAACAAAAAAGAGTAGTTTGGTTCGCTATTTCCTCTAAAGTTATTGGGCGTCTTGAGCACCTAGAACTGAAGGGTTTGAACATGGCAAACATGCTTGGTATGACAAAGACTACGTGAAAGAAGGATTGAAGCATCTAAACCTCTAAAATCCCATTGGTTATTGGAAAAGATGAAAACGGAATTGATTAAAAAAATTAAAATAAAAAATAATTAAATTATTTGTCTTTTTTTATGGTAAAGTATGATAAAGCTCAATACTATATACCACAAATGTGAGAACTATCAGAACCTCCAAAAACCTTATAAATCATAACTTTCAACCCTATAAAATTAAATTACTTTTCTCTCTTATAAATATGATTCACCTATGTGCCTCTACATTTTGATCATTATATTTTTACTTTCATTTTTTCAATACATTCAATTCTATTTTTTTTTAGCAACCAAATGGGGCCTAAATCTATTTTTGGATGCAGCTTATGTTTGCATATTGGTGGATTTAGCTTCCTGATTTGGTTTTGCTATAGGTGAATCGATTTCTGCTTTTACCTGATGATACTACTCATCTTCTTCTTTGCTAAATCTTCTTCCCGAGCTTTTGCGGGAGCTTCTCATTTTGGATGCCACATAGGCATTGCCACCAAAGCAAAAAATGGGGTGGATGCCCACATGATATGCCCACATAAACATAGTGAGATCAACTAACGATTGTTTAAGTCTGTCAAAATGGGATGACATTATATTGTTCTTTTTTTTAAAAAAAAAAAAAGGTAATATTGTCTTTTTCCTTAGTTAAGAATAGTAGATGTCCCTCACCGCAATGCTTTTGAGATATATTTGCACCTCAATCCTTTAAAATTAAAAAGAAATTACAAGAACTTGTGAATTAATTTTGTTCTATATTTTTTGAAATTTTTCTTTTTATGTTGTAACCATATTCCTGCATTTATATATAAAGTCTTTTAGTCATCGAAATTGAATGGGAACTGTACAGAGATTTGGACTCTTCTCTCATCTCATGGGCATGGGCCAACCCTTTCTAATCAATGAGCTGTCTCACTCAATATTTTAAAAATGAGATTGGGACGGTCGGTTTAATTGGTTGGACTGAAAACTGGTCCTCAATCCGGTCCGATATATGGCCAAAACCAAACAAGCATAGAACTGATCAAACACAGGTTTATTTTTAAGTTTACGTACATCGTTAGCTAGACAATATTATGCAGAAATTGTTTTTTTAAATATTTTTCACATGCCTAGATCATAAATTTTGAAGTTTGAACTATACGTTGTTGCTTTATAATTTATTTTCGCTTTTTTACTTTTAAATTATTAAAATTTTTAACGAAATTATGTTAGATGTTTCTTATTTATACATGATTACAATTAGCCGTAAAACATGATGTATGGGATAATAAATTCTAAAATAAAATATGTTGTTAAAATTTTTAATTTACAAAGGATAATAAAATAAATAATTTTGTTCAGATATCCAAAATAAATTGTAAACTGTACAAGGTGAAAGATTATAGAATAAAATAATATATTATTTATACTTTCAATGTGTACATAAATAAGAAATTCAAAAATAAAAGAAGTTTTTTATATTATTAACATACCTAGGATAATCAATTTTTAACAATACGTTGTTTATATTTTAAAATTTTAACATGCACCAATGTAATAAATTTTAAAATAAAATATTTAATTTAATTTTTGTATATTTAGAGAGGTAATAAATTATAAAACAGAATATAATGAATTTTTTTGTACATTTTATGATATTATTTTAGCATATTTTTAAATTTATACTTTTTCTATTAAAAAATGTAAAGCATTTTTAATTAAATTTCATTCTAATAAAGCAGTTAATTCTCTTTAAACTAACACTATTTTTTTATATTTAAAAAGCCATTTTACTTTAAAATAAATATAAAATGACATAGGTATTGAGAACACTTTTTGAAAAAAATATAATAATTATATTTTTAAATACTAAAAATAATTTATATTTTTTAATATTTAACTACTTAAAAAATATCTTATATTTTTAAATAAAAAAATATTATTTTAAAATTAATTTTTAATTTTAAAACATGTTTTTTTATAGTTTTAACATACATAAATTTGGGGCCGGTTTAAAATTATTTTTATTTTATTGTTTTAAAAATTAGTGTTTTATAAAGTATGTTTTGAAAATAAAAAATAATTAAAATAAGTATCTTTTCATTCTTTTTTATTTTTTAAAACATAATTCAAGAATATTTAAAAAATATTTTTTAAAAATACATTATTAAATTTTTTTTTATTTTTTTATTTTAAAGAACAGAAAATTATTTTCATGACATCTTGTCAAACAAGCTCTTGGACTCTGCTCTTGTGCTCTCTCTCGGGATGACGCAGTCGTTTCTAACCAATGAGGCCATGAGCTGTAACACAAGCCTTTAATTCTCTGTACATCGTTCCCAGACGTTGTTCTAAGAGAGGAGTGACGCCAGGAAACAAAATAGAGTTTTTTTTTTTTTTTTTGAGCCTACAGGAAACAAATTGACTTTGACTTGCGGAAATTTCACTCCAAACTTATCGTGCCAGTCTGGAATTTTCTTTAGCTTCTTTAGTGTGCGTGTATAAAATGTAGTTCTAAATAAAGGAAGGTTAATATATTGTCATAAAACACCAGCAAACAAATCAATTGACTTGACTTTTTGCTATGGTTAGAAGAACCTGGATTTGATGATAATAAAAATAGAGAAAATTTTATTTTAATTTTTAACAGATTAAATTTAAAAAAAAAAGATGATAAGACGTAAATGTGCATTTTACTATTTAAGTGTTTTCATTCGAAAATTATTTTCTTAAGTAGTACTGGCGTTGTCTCTATAATACCCATATTTATCCTTTTGAAAATGGCTTGAGAGTACCAGTATCCCCATTTTAATACCAGTACTGGAAGAAGTCCTAGATTTGAACTTGTCAGTAATTAGATTCCTAGTTTATGACTAATTGTTATAGTCACAACGTGACCCCTCTCTTTTGAAAGAAATCTTGGATTTAAATTTGTCAATAATTAGATTCCTATGTACTTTATTTTAATACAGCCTTTTTAATTTAATATGCTAGATTTATTAATTCCTAAAAGGTTAAAATTCTTGGATTCTAAAAAAAATTAAAAACTTTCGCATCTTTAATTAAAATATTGTAATTTTTGAATCAATTACAAAATTTTTGCCACTCAAAACTTAAATAAAAATTTTATTCCTTTTAAAATAATTTGTATACATAATATAATTTTCATAAAAAAATTAATATAGGTGTAAACATTGAATTAAATCAATTTTTATTTTTTCTAAAAGAATTAAATAAAATTTTAAATAAATTTCAAAAGTGGTTTTGTTGTGGGAAAATTAATCATTCATTCATAATTTTTATCTTATGGGATTAACATATTAAATGGATTAAATTATAAAGATTTGATTAAAATAAATAAATTACATAGAGCTATTTTAAAATTTAAAAAATTATAAAGACATGTAAATTAATTTTTTATTCATTTCAAAATTTTCTTTTCTAATGTAACCATGTAACTGCATTTGTATATAAGGTCTTTTAGTGATCAATATTGAATGGGGATTGCATGTGGAGTAGTGGATGAAGGCAGGCTGTATTCAATGTTCCGTCATGGCCCATTCCTTGCTACTCAATGAGCTGTCCTTCCAGTCTTTAATTTTCCGCACATCATTTCCAGACATTATTCCATGTAGAAATTGGTTTTTTTACATGTCTAAATAATAAACTTTGAACTATACGTTGTTATTTTATATTTTAAATAATGTATTTATAACTTACTCACTCTTAACCAAAATATAATTGGTAACTAATTAATAATTCTAAAAAAATGTTTGTTGAAACCTTATTTTTTAAAAAAATACATCTTTTCTGTTTTATCCTTATTAAATACTTTATTAAGTGCTCTGATAATACTAATTAAAATTTTAATGCATCATTTTTTAAAAAGAGTAAATACCCTATATTTTAGATCAAGTAAGATTTCTAAAAGATATCTTATATTACTATTCAAAGAAGTATTTAATTAACTTTTTAGTTTTAAATATTTTTAAAAAATTATGAAATCATGTTAGAAGTTTTTTTATTTATATATGATTAAAATACGTTGTTAATTTTTTAAAAAAAAATTTACACGGCTAAAAAAATAAACAATTTTGTTCACATTATTATCCAACTTAAATTTTAAATCTTCTTGTCATCCTAAGTTTTCAACTTAGTGGCACGTCATCATATATATTCTATTCACTTATACCAGTATTTGTATCAATTCTCAAAATAGTTTTCTAATACGTACACATGCTAAAAGGTATCATGAATTGTTCAGCATATAGCATTCTAATACACAAAAAGTCGTGCATTCAGAGCCATTTGTAAAGTGGCCAAGGAACAACATTGTAAATAGCGGTGAACCTTATTATCAGCTTAGAGAGTTCGATTGAGTTCAAACTCTAAACTATCTACCTAGCTTGTGGAATAAACCCAGAAGAATCAACCCTAAAAGAACTCCAATCTAAGGAAATGCTTGACCTCTTGCTCTTAGACCTTTCCATGTTTACTTCAAGAGCCAGACATTCTTTTAATTCCGCCACTATATGGCTTATGTCAGGCCTTTGAATTGCAGACGGTGGAGTGCAAGACATGGCTATCTCTAAAAGTTTCCAAACTGAACTAGTGTTGTAATTTCCTTGTAACCTTGGATCTATGATGGATTGGATATCTCCCATTTCAAGTTGGGGAGTAACCCAATGAAGAATGTGACAAATGGCTCCATGTTTTCTTCTTATTGCCGGTTGACCAGTGATTAGCTCAAGCAGAATTATCCCAAAACTATAAACATCACTCTTTTTGTTTAAGTTTCCAGAGCTTTGGAATCTGTAAAATTACTACTTGTTAGGTTCTAAAACAAAAGTTCACTTTTTCAATAATCACTCAAAATATTATATTGAAGAATAAAGAATGCAGCAATATACACATATGCATTGATGAACAGCGAAATTAATGTTCACACTTTGAACCATAAGAGAAGAAACTGATTTTGATATATATGAACTATATAGGGGCATAAATTGTAATTTATACTATGTTCATTTGTTAAAAGACTTACTCAGGATCGAGGTAACCCAATGTACCAGCAGGACGAGTTGATACATGAGTGTCAATGTCATTTGCAAATGCTCGAGACAGTCCAAAATCAGAAATCTTGGCTTGCATGTTTTCATTTAGTAAAATATTTGAGGTCTTTAAGTCTCTATGGACTATTGGTGGCTTACAACCATTATGCAAATAGTCTAATCCTGCATTTCCATTGAGTAGCCAAATGTGTCATAATCTGTTAGCACGGGCATAGTGGAAAAATAAGTATTAAGAAAAATGGGACAAATCTATCAGTTAAAAGGTGAACATGGTTTCGAATACCGTGTGCTGCATCCAAAGCAATTTGAAGTCTCTCATTCCATTTCAAAACACCAGGGTTATCCTCTGCATGACCGTCATAAATAGGTTTCTTTTACATTTTTTTGCAATTGATTAATTTGAGAATATGTCAAATCTAGCTTTCATAAGCACTTCGCTATATACCTGATAAATGTTGTTGGAGATTGCCGTTAGCCATATATTCATAAATCAGTGCTCTCACACCCCCTTCTTCACAATATCCAATTAGAGAAACCAAGTGTCTATGATGGACAACCATTAAAAGTTCAACCTAAAATTCAAATCAATATTTGTAGAGTGCATGAGAATTAACTAACATCTCATAGTTTCTCTTGATGCCATACTGATATAAAGTTACATTACATCACCAAGAGGAAAGCATAAATTGTTTGATTTGATTAATCTAACCTCAGATCGAAATTCTCTGAAACCTTGCATTGATGATTGAGAAAGCAACTTCACGGCAACTTGAGTATTATTCTTCAGAGTGCCATGATAAACCTTACCAAATCCTCCTTCTCCAATTAAGTTTTGCAAGTTATTAGTGATTCTAAGAACTCTTGAGTAAGAAACAGCTCGATTTTTTTGGAAGGATTCTTCATTTGTAGAAAAACTGATAACCACTGCAACATTTGCAAAGTCAATTTGAACTTGTTAATCGCATGTATAAATGGGAAAGTAAAGATTGCTAGCGAAATAAAAGGAATGAAAGAATACTAGAAATTGTGGCCATGAACTCTGAAATATGCCTCATTAATTTAAAAATATTTGATAAATGAACTTAGATGAGGATAATTTTTTACTCATAAATAAGTGTTGTAGCACAAAGCATGATATTAATTAGTATGGTTGCTAGTGGAAAGAGTGGCATTCTAACTAATCAACACCCACACACACCACACATAACTGCAGAAAGTTCACAAGAGTAGTTCATTGTGAACACACAATGATAGGTTCTTAGTCACTACAAATGAGCATGATTTTTAATGAAACAAATTAGCAGATGTATATACACACATACCTTTTAATTTCTTGGTTTTCAAGATCCATATTCCTAAAGAAACCAAGAAGATTACAATCAAAGCAGAAACTGAAGCAACAAGTGGAATAACTAACTTTGACCTTTTGCACGAATCCTCCAGACAAAGACCAGGATTATCCGCCAAACTAAATGACAAGTCAGTTATAACTATTAATTATTCACATAAGTGTGGGAATAATATTATACAAACAGTTATATATATATATATATATATATATGTGATTTTACGGTCCAAGAAAATGCCTGATGAGTGGAGGAGAAGTACATTAATTCCTATTTATAAAAATAAAGGAGATATTCAGAGTTGTACTAACTATAGAGGGATTAAACTCATGAGCCACACAATGAAATTGTGGGAGAAAGTAATTGAGCACAGGTTGAGATTGGAGACAAGTATTTCTGAGAATCAATTTGGTTTTATGCCAGGTAGATCAACTACAGAGGCAATTTATCTACTAAGGGGATTAATGGAAAAGTATCGTTGTAAAGATAAAGATCTACACATGGTTTTTATTGATTTGGAAAAAGCTTATGACCGTATACCAAGAGAAGTGCTTTGGAAAGCGTTGGAAAAAAAGGGAGTACGGATTGCTTATATTAAAGCCATACAAGATATGTATGAGGGGGTAAAAACTAGTATAAGAACGCTTAGTGGTCAAACAAAGGATTTTCCTATAAAGATTGGACTACATCAGGGATCATCTCTGAGTCCTTATTTGTTCAACTTGATTTTAAATGTTTTGACGGAACATATTCAAGAGGAAATCCTGAAATGTATGCTCTTCGCGGATGATATAGTTCTTATAGCAGAGACAAGAGAAGAGATTAATTGCAAACTTGAGTTATGGAGGAGGACATTGGAGTCGAAAGGTTTTCGTCTGAGTAGAAGTAAGACGGAATATTTATATTGTAAATTTGGTAAAGGACTATTCGAAAATAATTTGGAAGTGAAATTGGGAGATCAAATTATACCTCAAGTGGAAAAGTTTAGATATTTGGGAGCCATTATTCAAAATGATGGCGAAATCAGTGGAGATATTTCACATAGAATTCAAGCTGGGTGGTTTAATTGGAGAAAAGCTAAAGGAGTTATTTGTGACCGTAAAGTGCCTAATAAACTTAAAGGAAAGTTTTATCGTACTGCTATCAGACCGGCAATGTTATATAGTAGTGAATGCTGGGCTCTAACGGGACAGCAAGAGCATAAAGTTGGAGTAGCAGAGATGAGAATGTTACGATGGATGTGCGGACATACACGTAAAGATAAAATTCGAAATGAGCACATACGTGAAAAAGTGAGGGTGGCACCTATTGAGGAAAAAATGGTAGAAAATCGGTTGAGATAGTTTGGGCATGTACAAAGAAGACCAAGGGAGGCACCAGTGAGAAGAGTGGAACATATAACTTTGAGTCTGATTAAGAGAGGTAGAGGAAGGCCTAAGAGAACACTCTTGGAAGTTGTTGAACGTGATCTCTTAATTAATAATATTTCTAAAAGCTTAATAAATGATAGAGCACAATGGCGTCTTGCAATTCATGTAGCCGACCCCACCTAGTGGGATAAAGGCTTGTTGTTGTTGTAGTTATATATATATATATATATAAAGATGAGAAACCTCAATTGCAAAGTTACATATGACTTTTCCATAATAGCCTTTGGAATTGAACCTGTGAGCTTGTTACCACTCAAATTACTGCAAAACAATTGAAATATATTAACTTAGTTGGTGAGACTGAACATACTCTGGTTTCAAATCTTTATTATGCAGTGATTCCTTAACAATGTGGCTCAAAACTTACAGGACTCTTAGCTTTGGCAATGTTGCTAAAAATTCTGGTACTGATCCTGACAAGTTATTAAATGACAAATCTCTGAAACAAAGATATATTCTGCTCGTTGATGAAACTTTACCACTAAAAAAATTTGTCATTATTTAATAACTCTACAAAAACACTTACAGTGACTCCAGCTCTGAAAGTTGTGAAAATGAAGTAGCTATTTGCCCTGTCAATTTTGTCGCACTTAAGTTCCTGCTTGAGATAATAATCCTTTGGATACTTAGTCATAAACTTTGACATTATTAAAAGAACGTGATATAAAATTTTGGTTGTTATAGATTTAGCTTAATATTCAATACCCATGGGATGATATCAATCAATTTGAACTGAATTTTCCATTTTAGTATCAAACATTAGGAACAAAGAGCTATACCATAGGCTTATATCGCGGTTAAGAATTCTTCAAACTAATAAAAATTAGGACAATTGATGTACATAGTTGAAACCATTAATTTAATTAATTGAGAAATGAAAGATTTACACTGAGGTGATCCTTGCGTTGTAGCCATTGAAACTAGAACTACAGTTTAGTCCATCCCAAGCAAGTTCTGGAACACATGGATCTCCTTGCCAGTCTAAATTGAAGATCTTGTATGTGTTTTTGACGCCCATTATAGCATCCACTATTGTCATCAATCATAATATATATATATATATATATATATCTCAAAATTCAAAGACTAATAACAAAATAAGAAAAATTTAAAATAAAAAACTTAATTGTTAGAACTAAAGGGAAACTAGCACTTGAATAAGTGACAACAGATCATAAACTGTACCATCTGTTTTGTCAGTTGGGGAAGGAAGCGGAGAAATGAACTTATAAACCTCAAAAGCATTGAGGATTGGAGGCGCGTCAGATTTTGAGGCTGCACTGATGTTAAAGCGTACATAACCAGGAGTTGCATTTTTAGGAACAATGGTTTGTGGCTTCAAGTATTCAAGAATTATTGGCTGGGAGAGGATGTTTTCACCATCAACATCAATATTGATTATTCTTTTTTGGCCAGGAGGAAGTTTCTGAATTTCAAGAAAGTGAAAGTAGACATAATACTGGGAAGACTTGTCAAGGTTTTTCCAAATAGAGTTATACTCAAAATTTAATCCATAGGAGAGATTAAACGATCGGGCTGCCGATTTCAGTACTTCTGCTGGTAATTTATAAGAACTGTTCATGCTTGCAGGACCAATATCCACAGATCCATTGATCTGATATGATGAATTCATATAGCGCCACAGACGATCGTAAATGTCATCTTTGTACCTGCAATTGTGTTATTCATAATAAGAAGCATAGACCAATGTTAATATTAACATCAACACACACTCTTGGTCACTTGTTTCACACACACACACACTGTGATCATAAATCGGACACCAGCAAAACAAAACAATAACACGTGACACACCTCACCTCTTATGTATTTATATGTGTGTGTAATGACTGCTGCAATGTTTAAGAGAATGGATTGCATTATTTCTTTGAATTATTTTATGTCTCTAAATCTCTTTATGGTATCAGAGCCCATAAAGAGATTTTCTTTAACTAGAGTACATTATAATTTACTATTACCTATATTCATATGAGATTTAACAAAGTTTTATGTTGATTGTTGAAGGCTTAATACAACCCTCCTCCTTTACCTAAACTTGGGACCAGCTATAAATATAAGTAGAGTTGTGTACCTCATAATCTACATGCTTGAAAAACTATTAAAATTGATTGCTTGAACCTCCAAATGACAAACTAAGAAACTATGGCATCGATCCAAACAATATAGTTTATCTGATTGCTAATATGTTGTAAATGTATGACCTACATGTGATAGAGTAATCGTGCTTTAGTACTTATACAAAGGCAAAAATATCAAACCTAATTTTCCAAAGATCCGAGTCGTCTATTGCAATGAAAAACAACTAAACGTACCAGAAAATCGAAAGGAAAAATCACCTGCTGTGCCAGACTAAGCTAGTGGAGGCAACATCAAATCTTCCTTGACTGATTAAAAGTGATTGAGAAGGCGAAGGAGTTTGATAGATGGAATTGCTGAGAGGACGAAGTTCCAATGCAGAAATGAAAGGTACTCCGATGACAGTTTTTACAAGGCACACATGTATGGTGTCAGTTGTTGGAGTATGAATGGTCTCGGTTATGTAATAATCTTTTCGACCCCAGTTAAAAGTATCCCAACGATTGACGCCAATATACAAGTCAAAGGATGGAGTTTGGTTGTTGCCGTCGTAATTTCCATATGCAAAGTAAGCTCTGATGAGATAAGTATGGTGCTTGCCTTGTTTTGGTTTGAGAGTATAGCAGTTCCTTGTTCCATTTGGGAAACTTCTCAACGTGTTCAAAAGTCCCCCAAAATAAGGATAATCAGTGTTGGAGCTTGGGAGGACCATAGCATTTTTACCAGTGTCAATAAAGTTTTTGTCGGTCTGATACCAAATATTAGTTTCTTCATCAAAGTAATCAATTGGCGATCCACAATCAATGCTTATGAATCCTACGAGAACATTGTATGTTTGCAGGAAAACTTAGAACCAATAAGTCTGGACGAAGGCATCGTGTGAATAGCTTCAACAAAATTAGTCAGCATGTAAAGCACATAAGCTTACCAGGGTTCCTATCCACTTTGGTGATGAGTTTCCTTCCATCTCCTATAGTATTGCCAATAAGGAAAAGTAGGATGAAAACATGGCACCAGACTAAGGACAGGTTCAACTTTAGTGCCCTTTCCATGCGATTTTTTCTGCACACGCATGCACATAAATATAAGGAAGATAGCTCTAGTTCATCTATTACATACGATATAAAAGAATGATGAAACACCTGTAGAAGACAAACAGAAAGAACAATATATATAGAGATGAACTCACCAGAAACTTTAGATTTCATACAAGTTAACTGAAACCAAGAATGAGCAGAACGCACGCTTGAGTAGTATCTATACTACATCTTTGAGTGTTTGAATTGACGCGTGTTTATCAGTAATTTAGTGAAGTTAACCGTGCACGCATGGAGCAGGCAACGTAAAATGTGCCCATATTTTGCCTTTTAGTGACCGATGAAAATCAATGAATCTTTTTGAGCATTTGAAGTATCAAAATTTCTTGTCGACTAATTTAAAGCATATCGAGACCACATCTCTTTAGCGTATACTGTACACTGTGTTCAATCATCATCATCATTAATATCAATAATCTCTACGTAAAATTGCACAAGTCACAAGCTCATGCGGCTTGTCTCACAAAGTTACTGTTTATAAGTACCAACTTGTAGTCTTCATTCTGTGACCTGAGTTAGGGTTTGAAACTAAACGAAAGCTTGTGAACCAATGTTTCATGTAATCTAAGTTTAGCTAAAATATGTAATAGTATCATGTAGATGACAAGCGGTTTGAGTACTGTAGTAAAGTTTTTTTTGGGTATTCATCAACTTCTAATTGGTAATGGTAAAAATTGTGTTAATTGGGAATGGGTCCTGATCAAGAACAAGTCTAAGAATAATAAAAATAATTATCCATGGATATTACATTAAAAAAACCAATATCTTTTGTTTTTGTGCGCTTTACTTTTCCCTTGTTTCCATCTTCCATATAGAAACAGATTGACTTGACTTGTGGAGATGAGATTTCATCATTTTCGAATTTACTTGTGTGGTTGTGTGTGCATGATTGTGTGTTGCAATTCTCGTCCCCAAATTCCTTATCAGTTGGCGTTTTTGTCTAACGGCAAGTGGTCCTTTTGGAAGAAATGTTATTCTGTCCTTTTTAAATCATTGTTAATTAATTCAACAAACTAAATTAATTTGTTAAAATTTAGTTGATGTTTTTAAAATTATCCATGTTTTCAAAAAGCATCTTTAATTAAATGTTATAAATTCTAACACAATTCTACCCATATCTCTCAATCCCTTTTTCCATCAAGATTTTTTTTAAAAAAAATAAAGTTGACGAGAAAATTTGTTAGCTCAAATCTTTTCTCTATAAGTTATATATAATAAAAGTAAATTCCAAAGGCATAAATGAAAATATAATTCAGTTCAAATTAAATCAATTCATGGACAAAATATGAGAAGTTTAAAACTTTTCTAAAGTAGAAAACTGTGAAATTTTAGCAAAACTCACAACTTCATATAGAATGGTCAGTTCTCATATCTCATGATAAAAATAACTTCAAATACTTACAAAAAGTTTTAATCAACGAGTTAGATTTGTGTAATTTTTTAAATCCTTGAAACGTCACATCCCAAAAAATTCATGCGACAGTACAGAATTGAGTTTATCTGATCTAAGTCAGCATTTACCAAACTAAATGAGCAATTCAATCTTTGAAAATTGTCATAGATATACCAGCTACATATATGATGAACATATAAAAGTTTTAAAACTGGAACGCTTTCAGATCAGTATAGAAAAATTCAGCGAAGTTAGACGTTAATTAATTGATGACTACTCCAAACACTGAGAAGAATTTTACAGATCTTTTATTAGGTTTAAAAGTTAATAACTTTAACTTTGATAATTATTGCCACATAAGTATAGAATTCATGCGCAATAAATAAGTTGACTAGAAATGACAGCATTTAGCAAATTATATTTTGTATGCCCAACTGTATTTTAAATAAGATTGCATCCCATAAGAAAATACCCATATGTAATAAAAGAAATTACTTTGATTCATGTTACTCAAGTTTCCAACTTGGAAATGACAAGTAGCCAATAGTACCAGTTTCACCCCAATCCTAGGGGTCCTTGATAATTCACATCTTGTCATTTTCCACTCTCGATATTTGTAGTTATCCACAATTTCCATTGAAAATATACATCAATCTTGAAGATTCGCAAGCTTCTATGACGTCTACATTGGACTCAAAAGCCGCACACAACAAAGGTAATATTAAGAAAAATTATGTTTTTAGATGCATACTCGATTATTTTCTCAAGTCAATTTATTTAGTCGTTGATCCTTATCGGTAACGAGTTCGGATCCTTGTGGCTGGCTACAGAGTATTTGTCATTCTCCACCTCAGACTATATATGGCATTGTGATTGGGAGTTTTTCCAATTATGTTTTTTTGTGGGTCGCCTTGTGCTTTTCCATCTATTCCATTACAATGAAATGTGCCAACTTTGAATTTTCTAACGTGTCTTTCGGGGCTCCCAACGAAAAAGAAAAAAAGAAAACAGGAAAACATTAGCATAAAACGCAAAAATGAGCAAGGCCTAAATGAGCGCATATAATCACTGATTTGACCCAATTTGTGAGTGGTTAAGGGATTTATCATCAGTTTGGAACTAGTTAGTTCAAATTCTAAATAAGTAACCATTAGCAAGCATATGAAATAAGCCCTGAATATCATGAGGCCACGAAGAACTCATCTCCAAGAAAGTGGTTGAGTTCCTCTCCATACTTTTGGTTACATGTAGTCATTCTTTTTGTCACGCCCAAACGTGAGACGTTCAAACGTGACTAATATGAGAGATAAGCATAAACGCACATCCTTTAAGCCTTATCAAGGAAAAACTTTAAATTAATATTGTAATGCATTAGAAGTAGAATTAAAAATCATTGCAGCACTTTCTTATAAACAAAATAATTCTAATTTTTTATAAAAATTTTAGCAGAACTTTTTTCTATAAATAGGACTTTTTAAAATCTCTACAACAACCATTTTGTAATGACACAAGAATTTTAAGTAAAATTAAAATATGTAATAAAATGTTTTAAGTGTATTTTTATGAATTTTGAGAATAGATTTAGCAAGAAAAAGAGCTAGTCTATGAAGATTATACAGCCACTTACCTATTAAGTCTTGGGTTCAAAGTCTTCATGGGTGCCAAGAATAAATTTTCTTTTTATTTTGCTTCGATCAGCCTTCAGCAAATTACCCTTTTGCCCCTTCCAGAAAAAAAAAAAAGGAAGAGAAGAGAGCAGACACAATAACGCACGGTTTCTTTCTTTGTAACATCCCAAAATACCAACACATTTTTCCAAGGTATTTTAATAAAAGTTGCACAAATTAAAACAATGGGAATCTCCAAAACACAAATGATTCGGCCTGGAGCATATGGCCCAAAATCCTCCAACAAAAGGAAGCCAACAACATTGATAATCGATCTGATAATTCAAAGAACGTGGTCAGAATTCAATCCAATTTCACAAGAACGAATCCATAGCCCAAACGAAAATCAAGAATTTAAAATGTTAAGTCTCCAAATTCCAAATAAATTTATAATATCCTAGGTCATGGCAATTAACTAAACTAGACAAAACATGTGCTGAACACTACTAGAAAAATTAATATTAGTGAAGGATAAATTTGTCACTAATTCTTATTTAGTGACAGAAATTTCCATCACTAAATCCGTTAAAAAATACAGTATCACTAATTTATGTGACAGAAATGTATCCATCACTAATTTTGTGAGGGATATCAGCTATCACTAAAAGCCCATAACCATTATTTATTTAATTGATTTTATTGATTCTACTATTAAAAATTTATTATTTTTTTTATCCACGTACTCCTAACCCCCTCCATTCTCTCAAGTCTCAACCCCTCATCCCTTTCGTGCCCCACCTTCTACTTGGGACTTGGAATTCAATTTTAGAGAAGTGCTCCCACCTCCAAGCCCAGGACATCCTTGTTTTGCCAATTGAACTAGAAACACATTGCACTTATATTCATCAAATTTTAATATATATACAGCCACACATTGAGAACCTATCTATGATTTTTTAAGAAGTCATATTCCCAGTAAAAAACATAAGAAGCTTTTAACAATAATTTGCATATCAATATATTCTAATAAGAACATATATTATTTTTTTACCTTAATTTTAACCTGGATTCACATAAGAATCCAAGTTAATAAATATAATGGGAAAAATAGAGAAAAATTTTACAAGTATTAAGTTGCTTATATTTTAAATCAAAAAAAACTTGAAAAAATGCTTATATTTTAGATCAAATGGAGTATATTTATATAAGAAATTATAAAATATATACTTAAGGATTTAATGTTTAAAAAAATTTTTGCATAGAACAATTTGTCAAAAAAGACCAAAACCTGAACAAGGTAAAAGAAATTATTCTTTTTTAATTCATATAATTATTTTTATTTTAAATTCATATAATTATTAATTCAATTAATTTTAAATTAAACATATCCAACATTTTCTTAAAATGATGATACTAATTAATTAAACATATTTCAATGAAAAACACATATATTTCATATAAAATAATATATATACCACCATTTTTTAATTATATGAATTTAAAATATAAAAAGTGAATAAAATAATCATATGAATTAAAAAATAATAATTCCTTTTACCTTGTTTAGGTTTTGGATTTTTTTTCACAAAATTTCCATGCAATAATTTTTTAAAAATTAAATCCATTAGCATATATTATATAATTTCTTAATTTAATAAATAATAATATATAACTTGTATATAATGTGTATTGTTAATCATATAATATATTAAAAATATAAATTTTACATAAAAATGACAACATCAAAAGGTTATCACTATGTATCAAATATCATATGATAAAATATTTGCGAACTAACATGCATTGATAAAAATTATATTTTATTATATCATGTGTATATATTCCACCAATAAAATTTTAAAAATATATTTTTTAAATGTAATAGATTTGATAATTCAAAAATTTAATGATATAAATTTGGGTTTTCACATGTGTCATGAATTATTATTTTAGAAAATAAATATTATGGAAAGATAATAGTTTGTCATTGCATTCAAAAAATTTGATAAAATAATGACAGCTATTTCATTCATCACAAATCTATCACTAATTATAATAGTTGAGTGATGGAAATTAGTGACGGAAATCAATCTTTCACTAAATTTTGATATTTTGATAAAATAGTGATAGATTTTTATTTTTGTCACTATTCCATCACTAAATGTTATATTCAGTGATAGATTCTCAATCCTTCACTATTCATCTGTCACTAATTCCAATTTTTCTAGCAGTGGAAACAAAAAATTATTGAGCGCACAAGTTCAATTCTTCAATGTCTTTCCTTGTGCTCTATAGAATCCTCTC